AGGGAGGGTGCGGGAGTGGGTTGGTGGGTCTGGGGAGGGGTGGGGCGCAGGAGCGGGCTGAGGCTGGGAGGGAGGCTGCAGGAGGACAGGAGGGGGCTGCAGGGCTAGAGCACCAGCCTTGGGGGCCAGATTCACACAAGCTGGGGACCAGATGGCCCCCAGGGTGTAGGCTCCCCACCTTGGACCGAGGAGGTGCCTTCCTGTATTATGTGGGTCTCCCCTGCTCAGCAGAAATTGCTGGACCTGTACGAGGTCCACCTAGTCCTTGTTGGGCATGTCCCCCAGGCGGGTGTAAGGGGGGTCCGTGTCCCCAGGCGGGTGTCGGGGGGTCCGTGTCCCCAGGCGGGTGTCGGGGGGTCCGTGTCCCCAGGCGGGTGTCGGGGGGTCCGTGTCCCCAGGCGGGTGTCGGGGGGTCCGTGTCCCCAGGCGGGTGTCGGGGGGTCCGTGTCCCCAGGCGGGTGTCGGGGGGTCCGTGTCCCCAGGCGGGTGTCGGGGGGTCCGTGTCCCCAGGCGGGTGTCGGGGGGTCCGTGTCCCCAGGCGGGTGTCGGGGGGTCCGTGTCCCCAGGCGGGTGTCGGGGGGTCCGTGTCCCCAGGCGGGTGTCGGGGGGTCCGTGTCCCCAGGCGGGTGTCGGGGGGTCCGTGTCCCCAGGCGGGTGTCGGGGGGTCCGTGTCCCCAGGCGGGTGTCGGGGGGTCCGTGTCCCCAGGCGGGTGTCGGGGGGTCCGTGTCCCCAGGCGGGTGTCGGGGGTCCTCCTTATAACCAGCCAGAACTCAGCCCCTCAGCAGGGGGATTTCTCCAGCGGTTCCTCCTGTCTGCTGGTGAAACATCTGCTGCTCACAGAGCTGGTCTCCAGTTCTGCCTTTTCGGTCAGTCCTCAGGCAGGACACGCTCCTGCCAGAGAGTTCCTGCTCTGGCTGGCCGAAGGGACCTGGGGTCCATCTGCCCACGTCCCCTTCCCTAGGGAAGCCGTGCAACCTGAAGGCCCGCGTGGTGGTTGAGATGCTGAGATGGTTCCAGTCTCCACACGCCCGCGCCCCACCGTGCCCCTCGGAAGTGCTGAACTAGGGCGCTACCCTGCAAAGCGCAGCGCAGACGTCTGGGGTCCTCCCGGGACATCTGGCCTTTTGCATGTTTTACCTTGTGTTATACAGAGCTCACGGGGGGAGACCAGCGCTCCTCAACCGTGGGTCCTGGCCCCAGAGGGAGTTGCAGGGGATCACAGGGGTGTCTTAGGCAGTACTGCCACCCTTACCTCTGCGCTGCCTGCAGAGCTGGGCGGCTGGAGAGCAGGGCTGGGAATGGCCCGGAGCTCTGGCCACTGCTGCGGTAGCACTGGGGGTGGCCAGGAGCCCCAGGGGCAGTTGCCCCCCCTCTCCGCCCCCATCAGCGGGCCTGGCTGTGCCACAAGCTTCCCGTGTGCCCATGAACAAGGCACTTCCCCTCTGGCTCTCGCGGGGGTGGGGAGCTGAGGCTTCATTCCTGAGCCGGTGCAGGTGGGGCCAACCGTGCTGGGCTCGGTAGCTTTTAAATTCTGCACGAGGGCCTGGGGCGGGGGCGCTTCCTGCCCCCCCTCTCCGCCCCCATCAGCGGGCCTGGCTGTGCCACAAGCTTCCCGTGTGCCCATGAACAAGGCACTTCCCCTCTGGCTCTCGCGGGGGTGGGGAGCTGAGGCTTCATTCCTGAGCCGGTGCAGGTGGGGCCAACCGTGCTGGGCTCGGTAGCTTTTAAATTCTGCACGAGGGCCTGGGGCGGGGGCGCTTCCCCCAGCAGGGACCAGCCGATGCCGGGGAAGCACCCTGCGGGCCCCCGCG